ATTTGTCTTTCTTTGGACGATGCGAAAAAGCATAATTAACTACTGCAAAAAGGTAAACATGCCTAACTGATAAACATTTTTTCATGCTTAACAAAATTCATTTTGGGAATAGTGAACTACTATATATTCAGTTATTTATCTCCCAACTTCTAAATATATTGTTCTCATTCTTAAAACTGGAAACTAGCCACAATCAGAACGTCATTCATTTTCATTCAACAGTTTATCGAACATCATCATCCAACAAATTGTGCTGTCTTCCAAATAACCTATTTAACGTCTCCTGAGTAACCAGCAAAAACACATGAAGCTTATAAGTTTTAGGCATTATTTGCAAATAACCTGAATAGTAGTATAAAGTTTAAAATGAGACACACCCTCCATTACTGAGTTCTATTAAGAACTTAAGTGTCTACATAATTAAGCTTTCCATTTTGTATTAACATATGATTGATTTAACTTCTGGCTCTTTTCATGCATTGACTCCACAGCACCTACTTTTAAGATATTTTGCACTTCTCAGAATATCTTGCATTGATGAAACAAACAATATCTGGAACTGAGAATCTTACTTGAAAAAAAGGCTAACTTTTTTTCAACTGTTAATTCCAACAATAAATATATTGCTAAAGGAGGGATTAATGTTAAAAGAATCCTGTGTCCGTGAAACTTGACCTCAAAGGAATTAATTACAGAAAACACATTAGGTACCAGTTCAAGTAAATCTCCAATTTAAAATGTCAGTTGCAAAGCATAAATTGTCTTTCATAAGTTATAAGTAACGGTGTCAAAGTTGCAATCTGGCATCTAAACCAATTACAAAGAGAATACTCTGCTTATAATTTTATATAAATATCCTTAGTACATGTCTACTTATCTGTACAACAATTTCATATAATATTTTAAGATTTTCAAGACTGATTTTGGATTTTTTAATATTGAAAGTTAGTTCAAATCTAGTGTAGTACCTGCCTGAGTAATATGACTGTATTACTTCACAGAAGCTTTCTTTTAAAGGAGGAACATTTTTAACAAGACTTTTTAAAGTCCTATGAAAGGGCAGTTTCATCAAAATCCATCTGAATCTAATGTGTGTGTCTGTGTCTGTGTGTTTAAAATAGAAAATATATATGTTTGTTATATATGTATATACATCCACATATATACATATTAACACATTGTTAGAACAACATATAAGAGACTTTTAAATTAACATTTGTGCAGAGTGTTAGTGATGCATTTGGAAAGGCAATATTTTTAGTCCACAAAAACTATGCTCAGTTCCCAGTGCCTTTAATTGTCCACCATCTAATTCTCAGTAAGTTACTTGATATCCATCCTACATACTCATAACCATACTCTACCTCTTAATCTATGAAATGGATAGCAATGTTTGAATGCAAAAGCATTTAAGAACATCACATGGAAAAATCTACATTAAATATATAAATATGGCAAATGCATTTTGTCATGAATAATAAATTCTAGTTTCAATCTTTTTTTAGTCTTATTTACTTGACTTCTTTTCTTTCATAAAATCTGAGTCATTAAACCCCTTTTAAAAAATTCTGATATGGATGCATTGAGGACTTTTCTACTTGGTGGTAGACTATATCCAAAAAGGTTAAGTTTTTTAAATGCACACTATACATTATTCATTTATTTTATAATACACGAATTCATTGAAATTTAAAGATTTAATTTCAACGTACATAGAAACATTTAAAACTAGAGGTTTCACATTGTCATCTTTTCTTACTGAGGCTTTCATAACCACTGCAAAGGTCCTTGTTGAGCCACTGAAACAATAAAAGAGAAAATATCCTTTCTTCACTACAGAAATTGTGGAAAGAGAAGAGGGATCTTTCAGTAGAATAATATTTGCAAGCTACTTTTAAAGGTAACTGTGAAAGGTGAAGCATCATCTTAAGAAAAGAGATTGTAGCATATTAGAAAAACCAGATAGTATTCATTTGTGAATTCTCAAGGATATAGGTAAGTGATCTACTAACACAAAATGAACATGTACCCTTAAAAGAGACAATAAAGGAATAAAACAGTTGATAGAAATTGAATCTACCTTTTTAAGTATTGCTAATAGTATATATTTGTAGAACTTACTGACATATGCTAAAAATAATTACTGTCATCAGAAATACAAAATTTATAGTTAATGAAATAAAGAGGAAATAGTTATATTTCCTAAAAAGGCAAATTATGTTTCTCTCACTTAAAAAAATTTATTATAAACAATTTTTCATAAGTTATATGTCCCTAGATAATCATGCCTTTGGTATAAATATTTTTAAAGTTTTAGAAAGTATACACAGTTGAATTAATTTTATACATTGAAAACAGAACATGTCATTTGGTTTATAACCCCAAAACTTTAAGTTTTTTACAAATGAGCACAAATGGATTTCTTTGTTACAGTTTAATATAATTATTAAAATACCAGAATATTTGGTTAACACTACAATTGATAAAAATTAGAATATCG